AATACTTCACGTAAAAAGTTTAGCACCTTTGGGAATTTTCGTCGATTGATAAATGATTCTTTAAGTTGCTTTTTTCTTTTTAATTGTCTACGGAATCAAAACAGTAGCTTTTTGACGATTCAAATTCGAGAACCAATCGACTTTTTTTCAAAATCAAATCCATGATCAGTGAAAGGCCGCAAATGTTCTTTTTCGTCGCATGCTGTCCTGCGGCTTCCTTAAAAATGGTTTAAAGAAAGAGGAAATTAGATTTTTGCTGCATATGACAACATTTCTGATTCTAGGCTGGTTACTAAACGTGTAGATGGTTTACTGGTTTAAGATTGAGGGCACCAAGCAACGCAAATGTTAACACTATATTAACAACGCGTTCGCTAGTCATGCCGTATCAGGACAAAACTGATATCAGGTAGCAAGCCCGTCTTACATTGACAAATACACATTAATTAAAAGCGAGTGGCAGATTGATTAACACCAGATCGTAACCATTATATTCATAACTTTAAATTCTCAGCGACTCATCCATATCTTTTTACAAGGTTGCTGAGGCACCCCAGCTATCAATCATGTTAACAGAGAAGGAGTGTTTACTTCACACACGATGCTCTTTCGTTAAAATATGCAGGACTTTTATCAAATAAATAAATTTAAACAAGTTAAATCCGGACTTTCGCTGGCAGGTTCATTTTCTGTAATTGCAGTTGCAAGACTCATACCGGGGCCGAGCTTTCGTTGGCGAAACGATGAGCATAAAGCTATTCAAGAATTTCATAAAAGATAACCGTAATCAAATGGCTGCATGTCGATTCGAGATCAAAATACTCACTGAAACTTGCGACTTTGCGTGCAGTGATTAACTTAGTTTTGCCAGCTGCTGATCAAAATTAATCTGTACGTCGGTTGTCTTTAATATTTGCAAGAATGTTTAAACAATTTTTATATAGTTCATTTATACCAAGTTGAATACAGTAAAGTAGCTAGATGTAGATTAGTGCGTTCAGCGATTTCAGTTACGAATGTCGCTTGGATGAATAAAAACTCAGGAAAACTCAATAAACGACGCGTATAGAGTTGCTCTTTTGAATAGCGTTTATTATTAATAAACACATTGCCAGTCGGTTTTATACTTTCTTAAATAGCAGTAATAACATGCTGTTAAGCAGTCCTAAGCCGTCTGATTTCCACAGTACTTCAAAACAAAAATGCTATAAATGAAAAAGGCAGCACAAACAACAACCCAAAAGTGTTTGCTTAAACGTATATTTTCTCTGCTGTGAAATGATAACAGCGTTCAGCGACCGAGATAAATTGGCATGAACGATCATCTCAAGGTTGCTGTTAGTCCATGCATTCAGTTCAGCATAAAAGTATCGCCCTCGAAGAATGGTTGACAACAGGCTAAGGTTCGATGCGCTGTCAGCGTTGTTGAAAAGATGACCAGCAAGCGAAAGACCCAGAGGAAATCTGCTTCGATGAGGAATCGTCCGTTGCGGCAAAACAGTTCGTGATGAAGTATGTTAAACGAATTTGTCTCGACAGCTTCTACCAATACTGTCTGCGAACGGTATCAAATGAGGTGATACCACCAGGTTACAAATGAACAGATAGTGAAGATAATCGACTTGAGAAAACTGTCAGGAGAACTCAGAAACCGATGCTTAGCTTGGTTTGATGAAACGGCTAAAAATGAGAGCGGAACAGTTTTCAAAACTTTATTGCAGGGGAACTGTCCACTGGAGTAGACAAGTTGGAAGAGAATGCACAATTTGGAAGCACCTGGTTGATGCAGAACTGCTCTCGACAAGAAATACTACCGCTTGTTTAATTGAATCACCTGTGGTTAGAATGAATTCTTTGCTAATGCTTAGCAGTAACAATATACCTGATAGGCCTTACGGGTCACTAAACTAATTTCTTCTGGTGACGGAAAGTCGTTTTAATTGTTACGACATGGTTTGCCCCATGCTCTGTATAAAAGTACAATTAATTAACTAAAAAATATATCTGAAGATTGAGTATTTCGTTCGTGCGTTAGTGATCATACTGAAAGTGAAAAATTTATTCCAACGTCTATTTGCACATTGGTCAGTCGGGTGATTGGCCAGTACCAATGTTTTGGCTTGTCTCTCACCGATCTTCTTCGGGTGATCCGGCTTGATTTCCGAATGTCATAACAGCTGCGGACCACAGAAGAAATCTAACCGTGAGATACGAGCCGAAACGTCGGCACTGGTCAATCACCATATTGACCAATTTGCTTGCGTTGTGTATAAATAGACAGTCTTATACATTTTCAGTTTGTAACTGAAAAATGGCAAAAACAGTTTAGTACACCATCATCCGATTGACCACTTTTTGCGCTGAATATGCAATAAACCGTTCTTTGCTATTTTTCAATATTACCAACGCATGAAGTAACCATTTCAATCAATTAACTAGCATAGCCAAACCTGGTCAGCTGAACTGACTTGGTGAGGAACCAGCCTGAAGCTTGATAATCTTTATTGCTGCTAAGCAGAACACGTCATATTAATTTGCACAAACCATTTAGAAACTGCCCCATTAATTCTTCTTATCTGATTGCATCGAAGACGACGCCGGGTGCCGTACAAGCATTCCACCTGGATCGAATAAATGAGTGCTCACTCCTCTGTCCCTTAGATATTAAGCATTCTCAACGAAATCATTCCATCTTGTTGGAGATCACCTGGTGGCCGTCTGACATCGGGCTCAGTATTCGCTTCTCAAGGTGATTATTCACTTTTGCTGGCATTGACCACACCACTTTAATTGTCCTATTTGTAACCAATCCGTTATCGTAGTTGGATATCATCATCCCCTGCTTAAAACAGTATTTGATATCAGATCATACAACTTCACCCCTAATGTGGATCTTAAAATCTTTATTTCCTTTGCTTCCAGTTTTCTGTGTTCAGTTTTGTTAATTGCTACCGTTTCTAGGCCTTAGAGCAAGATATTCATGCAGCAAGCTCTTTGTAACCGCAGCATTCTTCTTTTAACGAATGACTCTTCCAAAACCAGAGTCTACGGCGCAATGCCTATTGGGGAAGGGGGGGGGGCAAGATGTGTTCCATAGAATTTAAGCATCAGGGTGCCGGATGCATCTCGCATTATTTTGTCCATTAGAGCCACCTCACACTTATCACGAACGATGCATCAGGAGCTGATACTTCTAATGCGCTACCGCATAAACATAGGAAACTGCTCATACGCCGGATGTCTGTGCAGTGGCATATTAGATGTTCCAGTTTCTGAAGCATCGTTTGTGATGAGCGCGAGGTGGCTCTAATGGACAAAATGACGAGAAATGCATCTGGAACTGCAGGTGACGAACTGTCATGGAGTCATGACCTGCATAAATGAGGCAAAAAAGAAAAAGAACAGGTTAATTCACTTAGGAGTATATATTTGCACACAGCAGTATTTCTATACCATATTATGCATAAATGGTCCCCTGAGCAACTACAGGCAAAGGGGTAGTGTAATGCGCCGTGAAATCTTGTCTTGAAGGAGTCATTCGTTATTTGACATATTCCTGTGTACGAACAAATTATGAAGTTTTGTCCTGTTGCAAACCTCATTGTCGTTCCAAGGCTTGAATAACTTGCTGCGCACTGTTGATGCAAATGCACGGTACTTCTTAATGTCGGGTTGTAGCTCGTTCGCCGGCAGCCAATGTAAACCAAAGACATAGATACTCCGGTACTTTCTACGCAATTTCGATGTCAAGGGTCAAGTAGACATTGGTCCGTTCAACTACTTTTCTTCTTTAAGTTAATCGAGAGACTTAGTGGAGAATTCTTCTGTTTCAGAGTTAGAAACAATGATGTTACAGCCTCGAAGATTTCTTTTAGCAACATGATATGATTTGCAGGCGCAAGAAAATTTACGCAGATGCTTCGCACTCTTGCAGCAATCGCAGCTTCACTTCATCGTATTGGCTGGAACACCCAGTCAACAAAATCGCAGACAACAGTAAAAATTTCACTCCTCATTACCTTACTACAAACTTTGTACGAAATAGTTTGCCGAAAGGTCATACATCTTTATAATTGTACGAATAATCTTTGGTCGAACTCCGTAACATTCACCAACTTTCCACAAGTAAAAGAGGATTTGAAAGAAGTCAGCGAAGATTGCAAAGATTTGGGACCCCATTCTCCTATCTTTAACATTAGCTCTCTCGTTGTGAATCGTACTCTTTGAATAAGAGGTAAAATCTTTTTCGCAGAGAAAGCAGATAAGCAAGAAATGCATCTTGCAAGTGAAACCTGGTTTGGTAGTTGAAATGTCTAACAATTACTTTTGAACAATTATATGATACTGAATATAAATGAATGCGAATAGTTCTGGTACAATATCATACCCTAAAACGACGTTCCTTTCTTCTAGGAGCTTAAGTGGGCATTTAAGCAAGCAGGCCACTGGTGTATGGTATTTGACTGCTTGAACCTATGCATCTAACACTATTTTATTTGTTACCAATTATTCACACCAATTATTTTTTCACTTTCCAAATCAGATATTCTGGTGCTTCAACCATACTGTGCACATTTGATTAAGTTAAAACACTGGGAATTACCATCAATGCGACCTGTTCTATTACAATACCGTGTTACATATTAAATAGGGATCATAGATTACGGCAATTTTCCGTTGGGAGTATATTTTTTTGAGTGGACATCCACCTGCAGTTCATCGAGAATAGCCCACTACCTGGTTATACTGAATAACTCACGGTTTACCAAATGATTCAAGATTTGCATAGCGGTCGACAATCGATCACACACGATGAACACCGATCGCACTGAAAACTTTCGTTCAAAAGCTTAGGAGCAATTCAAGCACTCATATCGCGCGTCGCTATTACAGCAATTATATACTAATGATGCAGGATACGAAGCGACTGATGGCAACTGTCACAGTGGCCATTTGTCATTCGGCGTATGCCAGCAAGGCGAAGATATTAAGAAGATCGTTCACCGCGTGTGGAAGGCTAAATACTGAGGTTTAACGCCCGTAGGAAAGCGACGCCGACCGGGCTGCCGTGTAACCACCACTGCCGAAGAGGTGAACACCAGCGCGGTTCTGGTAATGATTTGTCCCACAGCTGCCGTTCGTCGCGACTGTGAGAGCACGATGCCTTCGCGACGCATCCGGTGGCTAATCCTGTGCTGCGGATTTCGCCGTGCCAGCAGATCCTTGTCGGTTAGCTAAACGACAAAAAAGTCATCTAGTCGTCATTTGTTCAGCAATCATCACACGAGTCAGAGGAGTCGTCGAGCGGTCTGTCGGCACTCGCCAAAGTCGAGCCAGTCTGACTACTTCTCAATTCAGGGGACAGCATGTTACGAAGGTCGGTGGTCAGCTTGTCGACGAAACTGACCCTCACTATGTTGGTGGATGGCGACTGTTCACATCAGACAGATACTCCGACCTCTCAGGCAGCGGCCACCGATCTGTCGGTGTCACCCAAACACTCGTGGTCGTCAGATGTTCAGAAGCGATTGTGGCTTTTTTACCTTCTTCATTATTTTGATGTCGCTCTCGTCGATAATTTCCATGTCATTGAATAACTTCCGCCTTGGGATCGCAGTATCCGCTGTGTCGGCCGTATTATTGAGCATCTTATCGCGTTTCGTCATCATCGTGGGAGTGCCACAATAGACGCAAAAAGCGGTTGTCGCTACAGACTGCGACATTTATATCGTACCTCGCTAGAATCACATCGCGACTCGTTGAGGCGTTCTGTAGCAACGGTCATGTACCCTCCAGTCGACTCGAAAAAATGACCTCTTTGGTGTTGCTTATACCAGCTGCATTCATACTCAGCCTCAACGGTAAGTAGAAGCGCCCGTTTGTGACCTGTAATCAGATGCCGAGTTCCTCCTAGCTGCTTTTTCTAACAAATGTTACCGATTGACGACACAACGCTTTTCACTTCCAGCTGTCCAGATCAATGTTGTGTAATGCTATAGTCCAACCTCGCGCTGACGCTATGTTTAAAACCGTTTACAGCTGTCGATTGTGGTTAGAAGTTAGCTTCTGCTCAAACGAGAGCACGCATTGTGACCTAATTATAACTAGCTTTAATA